CCCACCCCCCTCCCGCCGCGGCAGAGAGCCCCTCCCCCTGGGCTGCTACCCCTCCTTTTCCCCTCCTCTTTCACAGTCTGAGGCTTGAAAACTTGTTAAAAGCTCTCCCAGCGTTCCAAGTTAGAAAAAACTTTTACGAGGTATCAGCACTTTTCTTTCATTAGCGGGGAAGGAAGGATGAAAAATACGGAACAGCGGTAGACTTTTAAAGTTTAAATAGACAGGTCTGAGTGCCTGAACGTGCTCTTCGATTTTACTTTAACCCTCCAAAGAAGTATTCTGATCCAGTTTCACTGCTGATCAGCAAGGGTAAGTTGAAAGTTTTCCATCTTTTCCTGTATCACTTTTTTCTGAAAACACTTTTTTTTTCCCCCCCCTAAGAATTTTGTGTTATTGCGCTGATGGTTGAACTTGTTTAAAAATACGCATCTATAAAAGCCTAACTCTCCTTAAAGTGCCAAATTCCGAATTCTTTCCTTTCCTTGGTCATATTTCCATACATTTCTTCAGACACTACACTTCTACAACTTCTAACCTTGTTCCACTGAGAGAGAAACTGCGGGGAAGTTGCAAGCGCAGGGCTGAGTTGCAGACTTGTTGCCAGTGTTGGGATGAAGTCGCTCCTCTGGGTGCTTGCCCAGGGCTAACTGAGCTCCTTGAAAGAAAAAAAAAAACCCAAACCGAGGTGCGCTTCAGCCTCCTCTGTTGTGCCGAAATTCCCTCAGAAGTTGGTAACGGGGAGACCTTGTCCTGAGCGTGAGCCCCCTTTCTGCCCCATGCGTTTTGCTTTCATGTGGAAATCCTAATTGATGCCCCACGGTTTGCGCAGAGTGAGGTTCTTAATTAGGTGCTTTGTTAAGTGCTGCAGCTACCGAAGTGGTGACTTTCACGTGGTCTGATAAGTTTTCCCCTTTTCTTTCAAAATAGATGTGATAAACTCCAGACGTGGGTTATGGATTTTTAACCTGGTTTGTATATAGTTACTCTGTTTTAGCAACCTCGGTGAGGGATTTTAGAGAAGGAATGCGAGATATCATGATATGCCTTACCACGTTGGCAATGTCTGTGAAAGCCTTGGGTGGATATAAATGAAAGTTGTCTAGGAAGAAGCGTGCAAGAATATCCACGATATGTGTCATAATCCCAATATGACACATTCCGTTTATATTACCTTGAAGGCTTAAATACCAAAATGTAGAGGGGAAAAAAAAATGCTTGAGCACCATCTCTTGGAGAACTAAAAAGCTTTTTACATCGAAAGACCTGGAGTGATTCTTTATAGCAGTTGCTGCCTGCTGCTTGCCAGTAGTTAGAGCAACACGAGGAGGCAGGAAAAAGAGCATTCCGCTGAGAGACGAAGCACAGGGTCTGCCTTATCGTGTAACACGTTCTCCTCTTCAACAACAACATTGCGTGCTTGCGTCTGTCCTCACGTTTTGCCTTGAGATAGCCCGTGCGCCTCGCGAAGTGGCGTATTTCATCTGAGAAATTCCTTTTGACTTTTGTATGTGAGATTTACGATGAAAACCCCTGGAAACGGGGCTGCGGACACCTTGTGCCTGACTTGGGTGCGTGTGCACAGAGGGAGCAAGTTGGAGGACTTGGGTGAAGCTTTCATCCTGCCCTGTTTCACATCTGGACAGCACACTGCACTGCAGAATTTAAGCCTCTGGTCTTTGGGATGTTTACTGAAGTGTTTCCTTCAAAAACTTCAAAGCCCAAGGCTGGCACTGACCCGTGATACCTAGCAAGCGTACAGACGGGAGAGGGGTGAGCAGCAGGCTGGGTTCGGAAGAGGGAAGAGAGGGGCACAAGGGATTTGATTTGCGGCATAAATCTGAACGCTTGTGTACACTCGGCAGCGCAGACGCTGTAAAGTTATCTCGGCTCTCCTGTTATGCAAGCCCAGAAGATTAACTTTGTCTCCGACACGGACGTCGGTTTAGGCCAAGGATTCCTGTGGGCACGAGGAAGGTTAGATGGCATTGAGCAATGTGGCTGTTCCATCAGATCCGCTCTGCTCCTTCCCCCCCCAGTCTCTGCTATGTCCTCCCCATGTTGCTCACTGACTTTATCTTGCACGGGAGCACCTGGCCTGTTGTTTATGCCACACGCACGGTTTAGAAATCCAGATTTCAAAATCTGCAGGCAGGAGCATCAGAGGGCCCGAGTTCCCCTCGGGGAATCCTTCAGCGTTTCTTGTCTCGCTTCCAAAGCGAGTCAGGAGAGGGATGGATCTGGGCAGTAACACACAGGGTAGACCTGACCTGTACAACTAGAAAAAGAAGCTGCTCATGTTTGCTTCGGGTGCTCTTGCAGCTGTGTTTTAGAATTAAATCGGGTTGGTGGGGAGTGCAGCACGGGGGAGGCCAAGGCTGTGGGTAGGTCCACTGCTGGCCGACCCCCCGCAGGACCAGCAGACAATGGAAAAAGCACGCAGTTGTGACACTTCAAATCCGAGTTACTGCAAGCGTTGAGCGCATAATCTTTGTCCAGTGGGTGACATGAGCTGAAACTCATCTGCATGGCTACAAATGAACTACACCTTCTCAGGGGAATGTCTGGAAGAGATTAGTTTGCTGGAATCTTACAAAAATCAAGTATTTTATTATTGTTCCAGCCCATCCAAACCTTGTCAGTTGTACACCTCAGCTGCTTTCTCTGCAGTGCTGGTTGCTTTTTGGGTAATGCTTGAGTTGGTTGATGTTAAAGGTCCAGAATCTTCTCTTTTGTTGGCTATTTATGCATGCATGAGCACAGAGAAGGTAGAAGAGGTAGGAAAAGCAAAACTTTGGCCTGTTTCCCAACTACTTCAGCTGCAAAATCCCATTTTAGCTCCCACTCTAAGCCTTACTGCTCTTCCATCCCTTAGCACGTGACCTAACACTGTAGTCAGACCTGGGCATGTTACCGCAGCACTGAATTTGCATTATTCTTCCTGGAAAATATGAACCAGATGACATGATGAATGCCATCCATAAAAAATAGTTCTAGAATTTCTTAATTGTGCCTTAAAAATCAAATTTCTTATATATGTGGTTATCCAACACTCATGCAGATGAGTGCTGTCATATCTCCTGCTGCTCTGTGGCTTTTTTCCCCCCCTTATCTTTACCCACACACAGTAGGACCTGGAAGAAATCCATCTTTTAAAGAGTTTACTAGGCTGGCATTAGTCTGTCTCAGAAAAAGGTTATAATTCTGTAAAGTAATAATCAGTAAGAACTCATGAAATGCATGTACTCATCATCAGCCGTATCCTTGCATTCCTGAAGTACTGAAATTGTACAAATCGATCAGGTATCCTTCAGTGGGCTCATTTAAGGTGTTGGGAAGTGTTAAAAGAAGTTTAAGTCTAGAATGCTGAAGAACTATTTTTAAAGGTTATCTTCCATCCATTCCAAACTATTTACAAAGCTATACTACTTAAATAACTGTTTGATACTAAACCTCTTTTTTTATACCTAGCAAACAGATAGTGTAATCAGTTAACAAAAATGGTCTTTAAGTGTCCTGAAAGTAAACAAGTTAGATCCGATGAATGAATTTTCTCTACAACAAAGCAGTGTACTGTGTTTCATAAAGCAATGGAAGCCACTTAAGCAAAGGAATAATATATTTGTGCCACCACAAGGTTATCTGATTAACAGTACAATGTTTTGAATTGATGTGGGATTTTTTTTATCGCTGGCAAAGGCTATCGTGTAACTGATCCCTTTAAAAAAAAGTTGCTTTTCAAAAGTATGTATGAGTAATTCAAGCATGGAATGTTTCCTCCTGGAGTTTATATTGCCAGAGGACATAAATGAAACTTAGCAATTTTGCATGCTGAGGCAAATTTTAAAAATAGGTAGTAAATTCTCAAAATACTGCAGGTGTGGGATTAGGTAGGTCAAAGCCGAAGTAAATCACGCTGCATTAATGGACCGGAGTGGAGTGTAATTAAAAAACAAACAACGCATAACTACCTAGAAATAACGTGGCCTCTGTTTTCTTAATCAAACTTTCAATCTGAAATAACATTTAGACAGTAAAAAAATACGTTGGGTCTGAGGAAAGTCTGTTAAGGCAGTAGTTTCGAATCATCGCAAAGCAGACTAATTAAGTCAAGAAGCTGTTACTTGAAAAAGGTTCCTTCTGTCCACTTCCACTTCTAGGACACAGAGTAAATAGCTTTCTTTTAAAACAAAACTTCATGTGTTGTATAGTTACAGGCTGTTCTCTGTTGTAACAATCCCAGCCTGAGGAGGAACGTGGCCACATTTCATTCCAGCCTTTCCAGAGACCTCCGCGCTCGTGTGCCACCTCCAGCCCATAAAGACAAACCGGCTTTTCCTGGGATGGCTGAAGGGATGTGTGGGCGATAAACACACTGTGCACCCCTCCCACTCGTCGGAAGCTTCCAGATTTGAAAGTCTGGGGCAGATCCTTTGATGGCGCTTCATTCATAGGAACAACTAATTACCTGAGGAAGGGTCCGCATGTCGCAGTAGGTCAACTTCAGAGCAGGCTGACTAAGCGGACCAAGGAAATGGCCCTGGGATATTTTTCAGGGGTTCAGAGATAATTGGCATCTCGGAGCTATCCGGGCAAGTACTTTAAACACTTGTCTCTCAGTACTTGCTCAGACTCTTTCTGATGGCAGAAATGGTGTGTTTTCCTTTGGCATCTGTTGTTATGATTGAGTTTGCCAGATTTATAATCTTGTGTTTCCAGTGACTCACTGCTTCTTGAAAGAAAATCTCCTTGGTGCTAAAATGTCTTATTTTATGAATTATCCAAAAAAGGGCTTTTTTTATAAATGACCTTCGTTAGGGAATATATCCGTGATGCGATGGGGAGGAAATCATTTGGACATTATCAAAACTATTAATACCAGGAAGGGATTACTCAGCACACACGGCACAAATATCTATACCCAGCAGCATCTACTTTAAAAGGAAACTTTGTGATTATTTTTCCTTTTTAAGTGCCCGATTTCACATGCCTGTTCATGTGGGGCAAGTTAAAATGTAAGTTTTTAATGCAGATAAAGATTACAATTCTCCTGTTGAAATCCTGTAGTGAACTTTGGGTTTTTTTTTTTCTTTTTTTCTGGGAATCTAAAACATCAAGCGAACCATTTCATTTCTTTTATGTCATCCTGTGTATTTTCAGATATCCCTGAGAAGCTGCCTGTGTCCCAGAAACGTGCACTTTAAAACTCAAGTAGAGAGAGACAATTTAAACTTGCAGCGTTCAACACTTGGAATGCAAACTGCAAGCCAGGAGTTGCCTTGAAAACAGAAAGGGCTCATTTACCTTTTTTTTCTTGCTAAATATTTTTTTCTTTTCAAAACAAAGGGAAGGGATTCATATACAAAAAGATGCAAATAACAAAGCTGAAACTACAATAAATTAAGCAAGCCACAGATAAACAGGAAATCAGTTTCTCCAATATGGTAACCCCCTCTTAACTGTGCTTCATGTATTTACTTTTTGATTCCTTCATAAAACTGTATGTAAGGAACACTAACTTTGATCTTTGTGCTGCAAATATTAATGTATAAACTTAATATAAATATCAAGTCTGTTTTTTTTTCTCTAGTATAGTATAAACTTGGCATCATTGGTAACTAATAAATGTTTTACACACAATATAGCGATATGCAAGAACTCAGTTTAATGTCGCTGTAGTAAAAATAGCACGCATTTCCAGTGATAAACTTTTAAGTATCTGACCCTACCATTAACTTAGTATAACCTTTTGTATTTAGGTTATACTATGATTTGCTTTCTTAAAAAGAGTGAACGTAAAAATTGCCGTGAACGATCCACACCAAAGAGGGAAATCATTCTTGTGTTCCTAGCATCTTCAGGCAGTGCCACTACTTACCTGCTTCAGCAGTGTGCCAGAGCTGGCTTGTGCGTGAGGCAGGTGTCCATCACTCAACGGAGGCTGCCACCCAGGAAGCTGAGCCAACCATAGCAGCAACTGAGGGCTGTCGTGGGCTTCTGGAAAACTGGAGTGAAATTAGAAACCATTTCCCCACCCCACACACACACACTGTGCTCTGAGACATATATTACTTTCTCTTTTCTGTTTCCTTCACTTCCCACTCTACCTGCAGACTAGGTAAAACTCTGGGGTTTCTCTTCAGATGATGTGTAACACATCAGTTAAAACAAAGCTGATATCACTGCTCTATTAGCATTGATCTCTGATTCAGTGTATCAAAGGTATCGAAGCTCTGTCTTAATCATCACTGTTTTTGTGTTTTGTGTTTTGTTTTTTTTTTCCCCTCTTTGTGTTCTTTAGCCAGCATCCTGTGAAGATGGGTGATTGGAGTGCCTTGGGAAAACTGCTTGACAAGGTTCAAGCCTATTCTACTGCAGGAGGGAAGGTGTGGCTGTCTGTCCTCTTTATTTTCCGAATCTTGCTACTGGGGACAGCAGTCGAATCTGCGTGGGGAGATGAACAGTCGGCTTTCCGGTGCAACACTCAGCAGCCTGGTTGTGAGAACGTCTGCTATGACAAGTCCTTCCCCATCTCCCACGTGCGCTTCTGGGTTCTGCAGATCATATTTGTGTCTGTACCGACGCTTTTGTACCTGGCTCATGTGTTCTATGTAATGAGGAAAGAAGAGAAGCTGAACAAAAGAGAAGAAGAGCTCAAGGTGGTCCAAAATGATGGTGTGAATGTGGATATGCACCTCAAGCAAATAGAAATTAAGAAATTCAAGTATGGGATCGAAGAACATGGCAAAGTGAAAATGCGTGGGGGACTGCTCCGTACTTACATCATCAGCATCCTGTTTAAATCTGTCTTCGAGGTGGCTTTCTTGCTGATACAGTGGTACATTTATGGGTTTAGCCTGAATGCCATCTACACCTGTGAGCGAGATCCGTGCCCGCACAGAGTGGACTGTTTCCTCTCCCGTCCCACTGAGAAAACCATCTTCATCCTCTTCATGCTGGTCGTGTCCTTGGTGTCTCTTGCCTTGAACATCATTGAGCTTTTCTACGTGTTCTTCAAGGGCGTCAAGGATCGTGTGAAAGGGAAAACCGACCCCTACTCCCACAGCGGTACCATGAGCCCTTCCAAGGACTGTAGCTCCCCCAAATATGCTTATTACAATGGGTGCTCCTCACCCACGGCCCCCTTGTCTCCCATGTCTCCCCCAGGGTACAAGCTCGTTACCGGAGACAGGAACAATTCCTCCTGTCGTAACTACAATAAGCAAGCCAGCGAGCAAAACTGGGCCAACTACAGCGCGGAACAGAACAGAATGGGGCAGGCTGGCAGCACCATCTCCAACTCACATGCCCAGCCCTTCGACTTCTCTGATGAGCACCAGAACGCTAAAAAACTGGCGTCGGGACATGAGCTGCAACCCCTCACCATTGTGGACCAAAGGCCTCCCAGCAGAGCCAGCAGCCGAGCCAGCAGCAGGCCTCGACCTGATGACCTGGAGATCTAACCTTCTAGCTGCAGTACTTGCTCTACTATGAAACGATGTGCATCGGAAGATGCCGTCAGTGCTGATCTTGTTCCAGTGGAGGTGGTACTTAACAGTTGCAAGCAGGAGTTTTTAACAATCATAAAAACAAACAAGCCAACAAACTTTTAAAATACTTGCTGGTTTTTTTGGGAGGGATGTGGGGTTGGTGTGGGGTGGTACAGTACACATTGGTATTTAATGTAGCTGGTTTAAAGAATTTAAATACTAAAAAAAAAAAAAAAAGTAGGTAGTCAGTACTAAGGTGGGGGTTGTTTTTTCTAGAAAGGCTGTAAATATCTGAGTGTATGTGTGTACTATCATGTTTGTTTCTAAAGAATCTTCTGTAATACTAAAACCCAATAATAACTGAACTCACATTTGTCAGGGTGAAGTGCTGCCTGAAGATGAAAACACTTTTCCTATTCAACAAGCAAAAAAGTCCAGGATTGCCTCTGATCATTTCCCTGTCAAGAACATTCCATTCTTAAAAAGTGCACTTTGAAGGTAAACTTTCCTACGTGGTCCTCCAGGTTGTTGAAAGGCTCCTTTGAGGACAATCTACAGCCTTTGAATCATTCAGCTCAAATTCAGACATGGTCCACCAATAAATGCTTTGGTCACCTGCTTTTCCAGCCCTTCACGCATGTAGATTTTGTGTTGTGCGTAAGTGGGATGGCTCCACACTCATAGAACTGGCAACCACATTCTCTTGCCCACAGTGATGTTTGTGTCCTGCTGCTCATGTACAGTCTAATCAGCATCACATAAAGCCCAGTTTGCTGCCACTTGCATATTTAAGTGTCAAGACAGGCAAGCAACTGCCTTTAGTGAACTTTATCACGCCTTTATGTTTAACGGTGTACATCTGTGTGTGGAGGAAAAGGTATATACAAAACACCCTTGGAAGCATACATTCAGAAATAAATGCACACAGATTACTTGCAGTTGACACATTCTCATGGATATTGTGAAGATGTGGGCCACTATGGTGTTTACATTCTCTGAATCCTTCAATGCAAGTGAAGCACATGTCATTATATTTTTTTAATTTTATGGAATATTTTCCATGTATCCTAAATGGATGCTTTTTTAAAAATTAAGAAGGGCCTAATCCTGGATGTCTTGCTCTGTCTCAAGTCAGTGGGAGTTCTGCCTGAACCAAGGCTGCAGGATCAAGCCCAAGATGTAGCGAACCATGTTCTTGCTGGCATGAATGATTTTCTTTTGTAGAAGGTAGGGGTGGAAAAGACCCATTAGGTCATCTAGCCAATCTCCCTAATAGGTAATAATGATGCTTGAATGATAGAAGATGTAGTACTGTAAGCAAGCTTTAGTCTTTTATGTGAGAAACTTAGAAGAAATGCTTTGTGCTGGATTAATAATAAAATATGCCTACATGACTTTTGCAGTAACTGGTATTTTTCTTGTTCTAGATATTCACATTTACTGAACTGTAATGTCCACTCCAAGTTTGACAGTTAAGTCTTTCTAGATGGCTCTAGCAACTTTAGTGTTTACACTTAGATTTTGTTTGAAATGCAAGTGAAGTTGAAAGGATTTTTAAAGAGTACAATTCTAGCTAATTTATTTGAAATATATGCTAAAGAAATCTACCAGTTTCTTCAAATGTGTTGCCTCTTAGCTGAACACGGATTGACCAAGGAAATACATAGCTTGGTTTCATTTTGCAGTGACACAGATAAGTTGTTTCATTTAATACATTATAATAATTTGTTTGACATTCCATGTTAAACTACTGTTGTGTTCAACTTCATTGCATGTATGCAACCATAGTCCATCGGATCATGTTGTCTGGAGAACATTAGTCAATAAAGTTTTAATTTAGTATAAATATATTTTCTAATTGTCTTTTACGGTTTTATATGTCCATATATATTTTGTTTCAGTTTTAAAATCCAAACTCCTTCCTTCCCTCTTAATTTTTTCCCTAGTTACTCTTCATTTCAGCAGTATTCTTGATTTGATCTCTCTGGATTTACTTTGAACTGAAATTTCACAGGACCAGATTCAGATACCCTCACAACACTGGAAAAACAAGCATCGTTTGTGCCGCTCCTGGAATAAAGTCATACACAGCATGAACTGCTGTAATGCAAATCTTGCCACAAGCCTCAGAAAATATGTATTTTACAATTAGGTATTTTCAAACATATTACAAACAAGATAATTTTTTAAATGATTTTTATATATGGCCTAAATTCTACATTTTGAAATCGTTGCCTCTAGTTCACATTACTCCATCTAATCAGATTGCTTGACTGGCAATCAGTTTCAGTTTCTGGAATGAAATCCTTGTTCCTTCAGAGTCAGTGGGACAAAGGTACTGTTTTTGATAAGGCTGGGGTTTAACGTGCTGTCTACTGCTTCACCATTTAGGACCCTATCACTAATGAAGATGTACAATACCTGGCTTTCCAGCACTGGACTCCAAAAAAAAAAAAAAAGTGTTTTTTTGCATTTGTGGGGTTTTATTTTAAGTCTAAATATAATGTTCATGTCGTTATCATAAGCAAGTTTGAAAGTAGAAAGCTGTATCATTTTAAGTCCAAATTTATTCTCCCTCCTATTAGTATAGAAGACAAAAAATAAGCAGAACAGTAGTAGTGGATTTACAGCTCTGAGAGATACTACACAAGTGCCAGCACAAGGAATGACTCCTTTACGTATTCCCTAAATAATAACAATGAGTGATGTTTTAAGATTACTTATGCTAGTTTGCCTGTAAAAATGCATTCCAACCATTTTGTGAGGATCATGACCTTGGAAAGGTGGATACAAAAATATACAGGGAAAGGCTCACACTGAGACAAAAATCTAGTGTCTCCTAGACAGGCTGTTTGTCAGGTACATCCCAAGTTATGGGCTCAGTTCCTTGGGGCATCATGGACAACTGGTATTAATTAGTGCTTTGGTGCCAAGACTCGCCAAGTGTTTTTTTGGTTGCAATGCGTGTGTGTGTGTAGGGTAAAGACATTCCATGGGCCATTTCTCCCACCTAGATTTATTTCTGTGGAGTACACACTTCAAATTCATCACAGTGACATAATCTTGTGTGCCATTCATCCAGTTTTTTATACGATATCCCACCGTGCACCTCTGCAGCAGCAGTTGCATTGTCTGCAGCTGATAAAAAATGACGTGTGATACAATGCTAGTGCGTACTTCTCAATCTTTGTAGAGGGTATGTTAGATACTGCATTCAAACTGGAAAAAATGTAAAAATACACACATCTCAAGGAAATTAAAACAAAAGCAGGGTTACAAAAAAAAGGCAAGAAAACACAATTTCAAAACATGCTGATTATTTAAAATTTGTGTTCGTCTTTTGTGTAGAACTATTCTGAAAAAAGGTAAATTCATCCTAAGTCACCCACCCTGGCCCAGTAATTTGAAGTGTTTGTAAAGAGTAAAGTTAGAAGGACAAGTTACAGGCAGCCTAAAATCTATATGCACATCATGTAATTTCAAGATGTTTTAAATACAGTGAGCACACACTGAAGGTTATTTCTTAATTTAGAAATGAAACTTCTGTATTTAAAGTGGAAACTACAGTAATAGTTTGAGAACTGGAACAAACTTCGTGGGTGTACCCATCACACACCCTGAAATCAGTCGTTCTTAAATGATGGGCTCATACCACTGCTCTAGAGCCACTTCTGTGTGTGGTGCTGCTGTGCTACACAGCATCACCAGTTTGACTTCACATTACCACCATGCTGGCCTTTCCCTCAGAATTTCTCTGCCGCTTGGTATCAATTCAAGGAAAAAAAAAAAAAAAAAGTGATGTAAGGGGTAGAGTTTTGCAACTCAGATTTGGGAGTCGATCCAAATCTGAAGTTACCTTGACTGGCTAATGTGGAGTTCTGGGTATGTCAGATCAAAACTTTCTCCAGTTTTGGTAGCAGCTGTTTCTACCCTGCTGGATCAGGACTACTTTTAATTCTTCTTGTAATTCCTCTAGGATTACCCCTGCTCCCTTTTCCAGAATTAGGGCAGAAAATAGGATTTACCTTCCTCCTGTAGAACTTTTTCTCTCTATTTACTGCTAATCCAAACTTGGCAGGACTGAGCCTTCTACTGAGCTCATGAACTACCCCGATATACAGTATTTTTTTAACACATTACATTCCGCAAATAGTCAAATTGACCATGGTCTCCTTGATGAAGTCTTCCTTTCCATCTCATTTGCAGTTAGATCTGCCAGAGGACTCTGACAACTGAGATAGGGTGCATGGCCCTTCAGGATTTCTCTGTCAAAAAAAAGCAATCCTCTGATTGTACAGAGCTAATCAAGCTACACCCTAGATTAGTTTCTACTGCCAGCATAGACACTAAGGTCAGAAACCTCAGTCATGTCCGAGAAATCACTAAGTGCACGTATTCTCTGGCTCAAGTCACTTGAAAATATTTGAGGGTCCTCGATTTTACTCTAATTTATTCTAATATAATGGCTTCAGAAACATGGGGCTATAAGATCAACCCTGCAAGGAGCTGACTGCCTTTCTCTGACGCAAACAATGTGCTTTTGCCTGTGCCCAAGGACATGTTCACACCCAGGCTCTGTCAGTCCTGGAAAGTGTGTCAGAAGAAAATGACATGATGCTGGTACATCACTAGACTGAAACAGGAAGAGCTTATTGGTTCCTGTACTTATTGAAAAGGCATTTTGGTAGACACAAAAAAGAATACTTGTTTTAAAGTTATCATAAACACTTCATAATGTGCAGTACTACCAGGAGAAGCTACGAAGCAATACAGACACTGTGCATGTATATATGGTAAGCATTATCTATGGGTAGTATGTCTAGAAATCGTTTAAATAGATACAGCTGCTCAGTAATCTGGTGAGACCAACCGCCTCCAAAATGGCTGCCCTCACTCTTTTCTCATGGTAGCCAAAATGCTGCATCCCTTATGCTGGCTTTCTGGAATTTGCAATGCAAAGACACCCTGGGCAAAGACAGACATGTTTTTACAGAGATCGTTTTGCATTAACTCCTTTTAAGTGCTGAGGAAGCATAGCGCTAGAAGCTAGAGGCAGAGGATCTGGGGCAGGCTGTACTGGGTTAGTAATAATCAAGGGAGTCAA